AGGGTAGTGGCAGCTAGCGCTGCCATAGCTGTAGTGGTGTGTGTGTGTGTTGTGTGCGTGTACAGAGTGTCGTGTGTGGGATATCCAGGGTGATCCAGTGTGTGAACAGTGGATGTTGGGCGCTCCGTCGCCATAGCCAGTGGAAGTGAACTGACCTGGAAGCCATATCTCTGTGTACTGTGTGGGCGCATGTCGCCAGTTGTTGTGCTGTTGTTCACGTGCATGAAAAGTGTGAAAGAGTCGAGTCTGATTGCATTGGTATCGGAGCTGGTACCCGCTGTCCCATGCGCGAAGTTGTGTGCAGGGTTGAGGCGCCATAGCGGAGGTGGCCGCTGAAGGTGACAGTCCACCATAGCAAACCTGAGGAGGAAGAAGCCGCCGCGCACCTGCAAGGAGACCACGACGAAGGAGAAGACTAAGAGAGAGAGAGAGAGAGAAAGAGAGAGAGAGAGAGAGAGAGAGAGAGAGATGAGCGATACAAGACTGGCTGTTACGTACCTGTGAAGTCGCTGCGCAGACCCACGAAGGAGGAAGAAAGTGGCCATAGCCGCGGAGCTGTATTACGGAGTGACGAAGGAGGGACCGAGGAGAGAGAGATAGAGGGAGAAGTGTAGAAGGAGGGACATCGGAGAAGAAGACAGACATAGCCGAGGGTGAAAAAAAAAAAAAAAAAAAAAAAAGAGAAAGACAGCAAGGAAGAAGAAGGTGAAGGTAGGAGAGGAAAGAGACAAGGGCGGTGAAGGAGAAGGTGCCGGCAGCAATAGCCGAGGTGGAGACTTGACCAGAGGGTTGACCGAACATTGACCGGGAGGTTGACCGGGGTGTTGACCGGGGTGTTGGGTCTTGCTGCGTTGAACAAGCATTGACGGGAGAGTTGACCGGCGCCGTTGACCAAGACTTTGACCAAGCTGGAGTTGGTAACATCTCGCCAAGCCCTTAGCCTACCCCCTCACCCTGTGGATGTGCACTCACTCGGCGGTACTTGCTGAGTTTGAGTCTGTCTGTCTCTTTTGTCCTGGGTGATAGGACTTTGTGCATGAAGGATAGGTCTGGATGACGAAACCTTAGTCTGACCTTGTAGGGCTGAGACTGTGGCTGATCCAACTTTCCAGGGGGGGCTAACCCTCCCAAGGACCGGTGTTGACCGGCTGGAAATGGTTGGTAGGACTCAGTGGGCCTGAACGGCAGCTAAGGCTGACACACCAGGCAGTCTTTAAGTGTTGAGGGCCTGTTTGAACCACTCCCCTACCGGACCAAGTAAGGCTGAGGATTTGTGTCTGACGGCTCGACTGTCCCGGGGGATACGAACCCTCCCAAGGACCGGTACAGACCGGCGGGCTGCTCGGTGTGGCACAGTAGGCCGGAAACGCTGAGTTGTGGGCTGAAAGCACAGGCAAGAACCAAGCTGATCACGTCATCTTGTCTGCGACGTTAAAGAATTCTTGCGGAGTTTGGGGGATCTCCTTAAACGCCTCCAGATCAGCCATTGGTTCAGTAGTGACAGCCTTAGAGTAGGTCTAGGCTAGTGACCATAGTTGACAGGGTTCGTAGCCATGTACATCCCCAAGGATGAGCAGGAAGCCGCTATGGAGTGGGAAGCAGAAGGAGATGTTTTGAAGCGGCAGGCACTGGAGGATGAGAAGAGGATGGAATGGAAGTTAAGAATGATGAGGGAGAAGAAGAAGAGGGTGGACGCAGCGAGTGAAGCGGTCAAAGATCTGGAGGAGGTGCAAAGACTGACTCTACGATTGACCCCCCAGGTAGACCTCCAACAAAAGGGAGAGATCATTGCCCAAAGTATTGAGCGTTTGGCCCGAGTGCAGGAACAACAATATGAGTTTAGTCAAAGTCAGGATATGGCCGTGCGCTCGATGCGAATGGGATTTCGGGACTTTGCTCGCGAACTGGTAGGCGCAGTAGGAGCCGAGGTGACCCATCGCCTCGAGAAGACTGAACGCTTCTGCGTCGGCGCCATTGAAGGCGTCAAGGCGGCAGCTCCCAAGGAGGAGGAGGCACGTCCCCGCAGGGAGCCAGTCAAAGTCAAGTTCCCTGATTCCTACAGTGGAAAAGGGAAGAAAACTTTGACAATTGGGAGGCCAACGTCAAGACCTATGCGCATCTGCAACAGGTCTCCCCAAATCAGCACGTGTTGATTGCGATTCATGCGCTTAGAGATGAAGCCGCCAGTTTCGCGAGGTCCCTCGTCCGCGCTGCCAACTGCAATGAAGATGCAGTTGCGTACTCCACATTCACCCCCCTCGTTGAGTTTATGAAATTGCTGCGCGAGCGGTTCACTGATGTTGCTCGTAGTGTTAAAGCCTCTGATAGGCTGCAAACTATCCATTCCCGTCAGTGGAAGAGCGCGAGGGCACTCAAAAGCACAATGGATGAGTTAGTGGTTGTTCCTGACCACGGGGTCACAGAGCCCCAATTGGTCAACCTCTTCTACCGGGCTATGCCCGAAACGTTTAGAGGGCACTTCTTCGCGAAGAGCCAAGACCCTGCTATGACGTATGATGCGCTTAGCAGGGAAGTGGTCGCGTTTGAGGCAAAGTCTGTGTCAGTTTCCACTTTCTGGCACAAAGACTTAGACAAGGGAAAGAAGTGGAAGGGTCGCACTATCTGAGGGCAAGTCAAGACTAAGGATAGTCTTGTCCTGACCTTAGACGAAGGTAGTGTTGACGAGATCCCCTACGAACAGATTGAGTGGGGGTTAGAAGAGGAGGACAGCGGTGCGAGCCACGGGAGAACTTACCCTGCTGTCCCGGCTGGAGGGAGGCCGCAAGGAGGAGGACAAGGCCAGGGCCAAGGGGGCCGGGCCTCAGGGAGCCATTTTCAGGGCGATCAGGGGGTTGGCGGCAGAGGAGGAAACCGCCAAGCGGGAGGAAGGGGTCAAGGTCCCCCGCAAAACCGTCCTAGGAATAGGTCTCCCTATAGGGTAGGTGGATGGCACCCAGGGTTACCGCAGGGTAGGCCTTGGGAAAGTTTGGGTCTGGACCAGGGCTTATGGCAACAGCGTTTGGACCGGGGCCAGTGCATTTACTGCGGTGACCCGGGCCATATCATTAAATATTGTCCTAAGTATAGAGAGACCCCGACGGCTGCTCAAGGGCCAAAAGGCAGCCGCCGGTAGGGGTAGCAACTGCCCCTACCATTAGGCCATGTGGGGAACATAGCGCTAGCCGGCARGAGACTCCCACACCACATGTGCCTATGGCAGAGGTTGCAGGCCGGTGTCTAGATCGCTGTCCAGAGACTGCTTGTGTTAGAGTCTCTCTAGACACCTCCCTCACAGGCGTGGCCGAAGAATTGAAGGAGAGGATGCCCGCCTGGGCCAAGATGAAGAAGGAGAAAAAAGGGCAGCTTATATTACTAGATACAGAGATTTTTAGAAGTAGAGTAGGGGCCCTAGTAGACTCAGGGGCCACCCGCAGCTATATTAGTAGGAAAGCGCTGCAGAAATTGAAGTTGGGGCTTAAAGTCCAGAAACTAACAGACCCCATAGTTAGTATCCTCGCAGACAATCGTACTATGGTTGTAGAGGATTACGTAGAGGGAGTCCAGGCGTATTTCCGCCTAGAGAAGGATGGGAAAGTGGAGAAGATTCTCCACTCCCTGACTCTCCTCGTAGAGGATAGCCTCCCGTTTGACATAATCCTAGGTATGGACTGGGGAGAGGCGGCAGGGGCCACACTCCACTTGAGAGAGCACGAGTGTAGGCTCCCTAGCCCGTCAGGCAGTGTCAAGACTGCCCGTCTGTTCCATGTGTCAGGGGTAGACAACCGAGTGTAGGCTCCCTAGCCCGTCAGGCAGTGTCAAGACTGCCCGTCTGTTCCATGTGTCAGGGGTAGACAACCCCCTGGCGCATTGCTGCCTTAGTGCTCCTGCGTTTGCAAGGTTAGTAAAGAAGGAGCAACTAGAGGAACAGGTTTTTGTAGCCTATGTTAGGCCAATTACTGAGCCTAAGGAAGAGACGCCTATAGACCCTGCTATTGCCAAGCTGTTGGAGGAGTTTAAAGATCTAGCTGAGCCGCCGATAGTAGTACCGCGACCTATCCAGCACCGCATTAAGATTGAGCCTGGCAGTAGAACTCCCGAAGGAGCTGTGTATAGGATGTCTCCGCAGGAGTTAGAGGAGCTTCGCAAGCAGTTAGACGAGCTCCTTGAGAAGGGTTGGATTAGGCCCAGTTCGTCTCCTTTTGGAGCACCTGTCCTCTTTGTCCCCAAGAAGTAGGGAGAGTTGAGGATGTGTATACACTACAGGGGTCTGAATGCTATTACAGTAAAGAATGTTGAGCCACTGCCTAGGATAGACAATCTCTTAGATAGAGTGCAGGGGGCAAAGTACTTCTCCAAGATAGATTTGAAGTCCGGTTATCATCAGATAGAGGTGCATCCTGATGATCGGTACAAGACAGCTTTCCGGACTAGATATGGGCACTACGAATTCATAGTGATGCCCTTTGGACTAACCAATGCGCCAGCTATGTTCCAGTGCTGTATGAACGACTTGTTTAGGCCATGGTTAGATAGATTTGTTGTTGATTACTTAGATGATATCTTAGTGTTTAGCAAGACCCTCCAAGAACATCAGGGTCATCTCAGGCAGGTCTTGGAGAAGCTGAGAGAAGCTAACTTCAAGATCAACGCAGAGAAGTGCGATTGGGCGAAGACCCAAGTCTTATATCTAGGCCACGTCTTAGACAGGGACGGCGTCAAGCCAAAAGATTGCAAAGTCGCAGCGATTAGAGATTGGCCCACACCGCGCACGTTGACAGAGTTACGGTCGTTTTTGGGCTTAGCTAACTACTATAGGAAGTTCGTGAGGAACTTCTCCACCATCGCTGCGCCCCTTCGCAGATTGCTGAGGAAAGAAACCATCTGGAAGTGGGATCGGCCACCTTAAGGACTGGGTACTCGACCCGTAGAGTTCATGTCCGCTAGGGAGGCGTATGCGCAGGACCCCATCTATAGTGAGCTCCTTAAGAGAGTTAAGGAAGCCCCAGAGTCCGAGCCATATTACCGCACTACTGATGGGTTGTTGTTTGAGAAGACTAATGTAGCAAACCGTTTATGCATCCCCAACAGTGAAGAGATCCGGACTCTGATCTTGGGGGAATGTCACGACACCGAAGGACACTTTGGTTGGCAGAAGACTTTAGCCAACCTGATGCACGCGTACACCTGGCCAGGAATGAAAAATGACTGCATAGAGTATGTTCGCAGTTGCAAAGTCTGCCAGAGGAATAAGTCAACTACGCGTGCCCCTTTAGGTCTTCTCAGACCTTTACCTATCCCTGATCAGCCGGGAGATTCTGTGTCCATTGACTTCATGGACACTGGCGTTAAGAGTAGGCATGGCAAGAGCCAAGTTATGGTCGTGGTAGACAGATTTAGTAAGTATGCTATTTTTGTTCCCTTGCCGTCAGAAGCCAGAACAGAATTAGTAATTCATAAGTTCTTTGATCACTGGGTCAGTGAACACGGGGTTCCGCTGTCTATAGTTAGCGATAGAGATACCCGGTTCACAAGTCTAAACTGGCAGGAATTGATGCGAGTCTACGGATCCAAGTTGTTGATGTCATCTGGCCGTCATCCAGAGACGAACGGTCAGACTGAACATATGAACAAGGTCCTGCAGCAAGTCCTGAGCATGTACATTAGACCTGATCAAGTCAATTGGGATGAGATGCTTCCCAAGGTAGCCAGCGCATACAACAACAGCCTGCACCTGTCAACCTGCCGCACTCCCAACGAGCTCCATAAGTCCTTTAGACCACAAAGACCATTTGAGGGACTTAACCGGGATCAGATTCACAGGCTACCGCCCGGTACAAGGGAGTTTGCGATTCAGCACGAGAAGGAGATAGCAACTGTTGTTGAGAATCTCAAGAAGGCCCAGCACCGCATGATCGAACAGGCGAACAAGCACCGTCGCCCTTCACAGTTCCAAGTAGGCGACTTGGTCTGGGTCCAGTCTAAAGAATTTGCGCCTAAAGAGAACATTTCGCAGAAGTTACTGCCTACATATAGAGGACCGTGGCCGGTTCTGGAAGTCAAGGGCGACGGAGATGGACCGTCCTATACCATAGAAATCCCAGCACACCTCCACACTTACCCAGTTTTCCATGCATYGAAGTTGTTACCTTGTCAAACAAGTGATCAGTTTCCATCCCGTAGGTCTATGATTCCACCAGATATGGATGGAAGGTATGACATCGATGGCATAGTGGCTGAAGATGTATTCAGGACTGGAGGTAGAGGTCGTCCACAGAAACAGTCCAAGGTTCATTTTGCTTATCAAGAGTCGGAAGACGACCGCTGGTTTACGAGATCTGAACTTCTAGAGACAGCTCCCGATATAGTTCGGCCCTACGAGAGGCAACAAAAAGGTAAAGGTCCTGCCTTGGACTGAAATTTTCTCGGAGGACCTCGAATTTAGGCCGGCGGGAGTAAAACGGCATTCACCACTTCGCAGTAGCTGATGCAGATTCCAGGGCTCGATCCCTAGTTCCCCACCTTACCTGTGTACAGTAACCATGTCAACCCGTAGATTTGAACCTGCGACCTGTAGGACCGCCAGTGGTAGGTAGGATTTCGTAGGTTACAGGGTATAGGGGATTCGAACTGTAGACTTGTCGGGTAGGAGTCTAGACAGTCCAGAGGTTGTAGCTGTAGACTGCCCGAAGGGTCAAAGTCGTAGCTGCTACTTACCTGAAAGGGCAGAGTCGTAGCCGCTACAGTACCGAAAGGCCAGATAGAGGTTTCTAGAAGTGGCCTTTCGGAAGTCAGCCCACTGTAGGTCTAGGCAAGTGGGCAAGTGGTGCAAGTCCACCACGCAGAGTCAGCAGTCCCAGTCCAGCCAGTTGGGTCCAGTCAAGCAAGTACCGTCTGGGACTATGTACACCGTGGGCCAGGGAAACAGGGCAGACCAACGCTTCACAGAAGTATAAATCAAGAGGCTGCGCACAGCCATTCATTCATTCCTGCGGAAGCCATGCGGAAGTGCTGCCTCAGCGTCTTGTGCGAGGAGGTTTGCAGTGTGCCCGAAGTCGAAGTGGGTAGAGAAGTGTAGTATAGCGATAGGGTAGTGGCAGCTAGCGCTGCCATAGCTGTAGTGGTGTGTGTGTGTGTTGTGTGCGTGTACAAAGTGTCGTGTGTGGGATATCCAGGGTGATCCAGTGTGTGAACAGTGGATGTTGGGCGCTCCGTCGCCATAGCCAGTGGAAGTGAACTTACCT